TTTTGCCTGCTATTTCCATTCAATGACGTCACTACCACAAGAAGCTCAGGCAGAAGCCAGATGTGGAGGAACGCGACCCCCCCCCCACACACCCCGCTCTGTAGACGAAGGAGAAGAGGAGAGAAGCTTTCCTGGACCCAGCACACGTGCGGATCCCCGCAAAGCACCAGGGGAAGACTTTTCTCTCAATGAAACTCACTTGAGTTTACCAAGAGCGTTAAAAAACAAAAACAAAAAAACAAGTTGTCTTTGGCACTGTCTATCCAGAGGTTGAGGTAGTGTTAAGATATAAATGCTATTGTGTTGATTTTTTTTTAGTTAGGAATTTAGTTTATTTCTTATAAAGAAAGAGGAGAGAGAGAGAGTGAGCGAGCGAGAGAGAGAGAGAGAGAGAGGGCCAGCAGAGCTGTTGGTCTGTGGGATGAGCATTGGCGTATGGCTTGCTGCTTTTTTATTTTTGAAGAATTGCCTTCTCTGCACTATTTAGATCCGAATGAACCTTATGATGTGTATATTGAGATGTATTCAGTGTGATTTTTTTAAAAAAGAAACCAAATTGTCTTCCTGTAGTCACAATATATACTGTAGCCTTTTAACAACAAGTCTTGCTTTCCCAGACAGAAAGCCATTCTGCACCCTTCCTTCCCCATCTCACAGGTGAGAAAAGGTGGCTATCCCCGCCCCACCCCCCAGACAATAACGGCACTAGTAATCTCACTTAATAAGAGCTTATTTAATTGTCTGTCAGCTTCTTAACTGCTAAGCACTTTGTGGGTCTCAGCTTTTTTCATAAAAGAACTTTTGTATTTAATACAAAGTTTGCTTTGAGACTTTTCAGCATACGATCTTTTTCCATAAACTTGTACAGTGCAAAAGACATTTTGAATACCATGATCGATAATGTCCCATGCTTCCAGGAAAACCAAACACTCCACCTCGCCTGCAAAATCCATTCTTCACACGGACCCTCCGCACAGCTGCCCCACCCCCCCCCCAGGCCAGAGGACTCTTCCGCTCACCAGATGAGAGCCACCCGGGAAAAGAGCCATAGTCAGTTGGGAGGGCCACGTCTGCACAGCTGTAGAAAACAAAACAAAACTTGATGGGTTTGGAGTTCAAAGTCAGCCCATCCCACCTGGCAAAATCTTCCTATAAGGAAGACCTTCTGGGTGAAGAGCACCACTGGAAGGCCGCGAAGGGCTCCGAAGGTCACGCGAAGGTCTCCGAATGTACCTAGTCCCAGAGGGACACCAGCCTTTGGATTTGCTGATTGGATTCTACTACAAACACCACCAAAGCCAGCCCCCACCCCCCGCCTGAGGAAGGAAAGGAACCTGGGCGCCCCTGGAACTGAACACGGTGGCTTGTTTCCGTTTTGTGTCTGGAGTTTCTTTTCTTGCACTTCTCTTCCCGCGATCACGTCTCCACGCACGGTGACCTCATTCCACGACAACACCCCCGGTTCCCTAGGATCTTGGAGCTGAGACGCAAGGAACACGGAAGCCAGCCCGGGGGGACAGGAGCCACAGAAGGTACCGAGGAGGCCCGCGCCCTTGCTAGCGGTCTCTTTTTGTCAAGGATGATGGTTGATCACACACGCGTGCACGCACGTGTGCGCACACACACAGACCCGCAGACGCCTCTCGTTCACACACCTGCACACATCCACCCACGTGTGCACCACGCACACAGGGAACGGTGTGTCGGTCTTCACTGTAGTACACAAAGCTTGCACTCTGCGTCCTGTTATCTAGCAGCATGGGGTACGTTTTGGCAGTTCACCCCATTAGGGGGTCAATAATTTATGACCATTCATCTGTTTTTATGAATTTTTTTATCTAGACAATAACTGTAAATAAAGAACTCACCGTCTCTGTTCATTTAATACTATGCAATGGTTAATGCTTCCAGCCGCTGGCCTCCCGCCCCACGCGGTGGTTCTGTCTGTGGTTTCAAAAGCAAAACAAAAAAAGAAAGAAAATCTAGGAAAGCTGCTCTCTGGGAGGTAAGCTCTTTTCTAGGGAGACCATGCCCCCTTCTTTTCTGCCCTGGGGTTCAACTCTAACATCTCCCCTTATCCCAAGGAAGAGGGCCAAGCCAGGGCCGCACTCCGGGACCCCAGTCAGCGGCCTGTCGAGGAGCAGGGAGCGGGAGCCGCCCCTCAGCAAGGGCTTTCCAGACTCAGAAGAGCTGCCACTGCTCCACCGCCCTGTCCCAGTCCCTTGCCGCCCCGCCCCAGCAGCATAGAGGGAGAAGGGGGCACCCCGCTACTGAGAAGGGACTGATGATGCTGACTGTCCCACAGCCGGCTGGGGCTCACAGCCTGTCTTCCCGGCCCCTCCTTGGCACCCTGCTCTCCTCCCCAGCCGTCGTCCCTCATGGAGGGACCAGCTTCCAGGCTTCCTCTTCTCCTCAGCGTGGCTCTGGTACCAGCTGTCATTACCCCCACGTTAGAATCTTTCACTGGATGGAGACGAGCCCCTGTCACTCTTCCTGTGCAGAAGTCAGTTATTCTGACGGGAAAGCTCAGATTCTACAAAGTCCTCTACGCTCGGCCCCACTCCCCACCCCAGATCTGAGCCCCAGCACTGTGCGTGCCCTGTCTCCCCCCACTGTCACTACTGCCTACTCGGGACCACCACGTGCAGAGCACCTGCCAGAAGGGACAGAACGGTCACCCCGAGTCGCTGGCCATCCCCGTACGGCGCGAGGCTGTCAGAAGCCAGCAAGCCCTCACTCCACCTTAGTCTGGGGACCAGAGTCACCTCCCAAGACTGTGCTAGGTCACCCCTCCCTCCATCTTGTCCCCATGGGCAAGAAGGGCTCCCCTGGAGCTGGAGCCCCGAGAGCCGTCCCACAATGCCCAGCATAGAAGCTACACTGCCGGCCTCTCCTTTCCCATCCGCCCTTTGTTTGTTTGTTTTGTTGGGGTCACCTCTACTTGTTCTTTGATTCTGAGCTTCAGCCCTTTAGAAGATGCAGACAATTCTTGTCTGGATGGTCTCAGCACCCTCATCCTGGCCCCCATTTTCTCCCTCCACCTCTACCTGCCACCCTAGTACATACTCTGTACATACCCAGCAGCGGGGGGTGCTCCAGGGCCTTCCACAGGATCAGACAACAGGAAGTTGGCAGGCATCAAGCCCCTCCACTTTGTTTTGGGGTCAGGGTCTCCCCGGGTCTTCAGCATCTTCATTCCCTCCTCCCAAAAAGGAGAGGTTCCAGGCTGCTCTGGACCGTCCTGCAGCCCCTCGGTGTGTTTTGTAACGTCTGTGGTGCTCTTCCTCCCCAGCCTGTCCCCTCTGGGGTCCCCACACTGGCTAACTCTTACTTGCACATCTTTTATCACAGAGGAGCGAGGAGGCAATGCAGCTTCCACGAAGCTGCCAGGGCTCTGGGGGTGGGGGAGAGCTCTGGGACTGGAAAGTGACTGTGCTCTTATTGTACACTCTTTATTTCTCTGTATCTCTGGCTTGTGCTATTTGTAATGAATGGGATTTGTCTGCCTTTCAACACTATAACTGAGCAATAATAATAAACGCACACGTGGAAACGCAGGCACGGTACCCATCCCAAGACCTTTTTCCGAGAACAGCGGGGAATCCACCCTTGGTGGATTGAACTCAGCGAAGTCGAGTGTGTGGTTGGGAAAGGCACCTTGCCTCTGGAGGGTGGCAAGTTTAACAGCCGTGAGCCACAAACCCACCAGGGCTGGCTGAACATCTCAAAAAGGAAGGCTTGGGGCACGGGGGCTCAGGAGAAGGTCAGAGGCAGGTGGCCGGGAGGTAGAGGCACATGTGGGAAAAAGCTAAGAAAGACATGAATTTGGGGTCTGGAATAAAGGAAAGGGAGGGATGGGGAACTAGGACACTGCGGCGAAATGAGGCAGAGGGGAGGCTGGAGTTTGACCTCTGCAAGCCCGCACAGAGCAGGCACTGTGGAAAAGCAGCATGCGAGAGCCAGGCACCGTTTTCAGCCTTGATCCCACACTTGGGAGTTCTGTGCACCCAATTCCAGGTCTTCTCACTGAATCTCAGCACCAGCTTTTAGAGACAGTACTGCAGGGCAGGCCGCCCCTACTCTGAACAATCAGCGGCCAAGGCACTGCCACAAGTACAAAACGTCACATCACCAACCTTTGCTGCCTACAGGTTTCTTTTTTTTCTAATCCTGCGGCTTGAACTCTGGGCCCAGGCGCTGTCCCTCAGCCTCTCTGTGCCCAAGACTATCACTCTATCACTTGAGCCACAGCTCCACTACGGCTTTTTTTGCTGGTGCATTGTTAGTGAGAGCCTCAAGGCCCTTCCTGCCCAGTCTGGCTTCAAACCACGATGCTCAGATCTCAGCCTCCGGGGCGTGAGGCACTGGTGCCCGGCTCTCCGTTCCCTGAACACCCTTGTTTGCACAGGAAATGCCTTTTATTCCAATTATTCCTCCCCTGTGTGCTCTGCTCATCTATCTAACATGCTCTCGGTCCTCGTTTTCCACTGAAGGAAAATGATGGAAGTGACTTGACCTTGTCACCCTTAAGGTCAGAGGTTCTCCCATGGGGCCCCGCGGCCTGCTCTGCTCTCCGCACCCCTCCTCCCGTCCCTAATCCTGAGCTGAGGTGGGAGCGAGGCCGGGGTGCGGCCTGAGGCCTGCCCTTGAGTGGGGAGTCCTAACGTCTCCACGGCGACCACCGCTCGCTGGGTTCCAGACCCCGGGCCCCGCGGAGCTGGCGGTGGCCCGGGCGCGGGGAGGCGAGGGCGGCCCGCTCGCCAGAGCTTCGGGTTCCAAAGCCCCAGGACCGGGGTCGCCATGGCAACAAAATCCCAACCCCGCGGGTCGGGCTGGGTCCGCGGCCGCTGGGGGCGGGGCCTCACAGGGGCGTGCCCTCCTCGGGGGCGTGGTCTGTAATGGGCGGGCCTGTGAAGAAAGGGCGCGGCCTCGGGGAAGCCCGGAACCTTTGTGTGGGTCCGGTGTGCTGCCGCCCGGAAGCTCCGGAGCAACGGCGCGACGGAGAGCCAGCCCGGCACCGGAAGTGAGCCGTCCGGAGGCGCCGCCGGGAGCTGCCACGTCTGAAACCGGGAGTCGGCGCCACCGCAGCGATGGTGAGTGTTGGTGGGACCCCGGCCGTGGTCTCTGTGCCGCGGTGAGGCCAGGCCCTGGCGGAGGCCAGGCGGCGCCCCCCACCGCCCCGTCCCTGCGGCCCTCCCGGGACGGCGGGCCTCGCCGCGGCCGCCTCCGTCCCGCTGCCTCCCGCCCTGACTTCCTGGTACAGCGGGGAAAGAGGCAGACGGAAAGGCGCTTCGTACGGCCCGCGCTGCTCACGCCCGGCTGCTGAGCGGCGCCGCCACCTGCTGCGTCCCTCCTTCCCCGAGCCCGACGTGAGTGGGCACCCCGGGACCTGTGGAGAGACGAGCAGAGGGGTGCCCGAGGACGGGCGCTGAGCGGTTTCTGATCTCCGTGGTGTTCCCAGCGCTCTTCCTCGTTGAGCGAATGAATGGGAAGTCGGGGCTGGGCGTTCAATCCCTCTCCTCGCCTGTGCCCTGCTCCTCTCGTGCTCGATATTCTGCATTGATTCATAATTTGTGAGATTCGGGAGGGGGGACTGTCTGTACTACTTATTAACAACGAACAGACAATCTCCAGGTGCGCAGTAGGACATATGCTAAGGAATTTAAATCAGGACTGAGTGTTGAGAAGTGAGGCTCACTCAGCTGACAGTGTCAGAAGTACACGCAGTTCTCTCCAGGTCCCTTCGGTGACCCATAAAACCACCTGTCAGGTGCCTGTGGTTCACACCTATAATCCTACTAATTCTGAGGATCATAGTTCAGAGCCATCCAAAACAGACAAATCAGAGAAACTCTTATTTCTTAGCTATCAAAAAGCCATGAGCGGGATGTGTCTCAAGTAGTACAGCAACAACCATGAACCAGAAAGCCAAGCAAAAATGTGAGTCTATGAGTTCGTGTACCAGTACTGCAAGGGGGCGGGGGAAGCAAATTCAAAGCTGGGAGCCAGTGACTCACACTTATAATTCTAGCCATGCAGGAGGCTGAGTTTAGGATCAAAGTTCAAAGCCAGAGGGAAGCAGGAATGTGATATGAAGCTCTTATCTTTAGTTAACTGGAAAGAAAAGGTATAAATGAATAAAATACAAAATCACTTCCCAGGTGGGCATTGGTGCCTCACACCTATAACCGTAGCTACTCAGGAGGATGAGCTGTAATGATCCAGGTTCATAGCCAGCCCAGGCAGGAAAGTTTGTGAAATTCTTATCTCTGATTAACTACCAAAAAAGCTGGAAGTGGGGTATAGCTCAAGTGGTAGAATGCTAACCTTGTGCAAAAAAAGCTCAAGGAAAAGTCCTAGGCCCTGAGTTCAAGCCCCAGGACTGGCACAATTTTTTTATTTATTTTTTGGTCAGTCATGGGGTTTGAACTCTGGACTTGGGTGCTGTCTCTGCTCTCTTCAGCTCAGAAAAACACTCTACCGCTTGAGCCACAGTGCCACTTCTGGTTTTCTAGTGTTTTTATTGGAGATAAGAGTCTCACGGACTTTGCTGCCCGGGCTGGCTTTGAACCACGATCCTCAAATCTCAGCCTCCTGAATAGCTAGGATTACAGGAGTGAATCATCGGTGCCCAGCTGGCACAATTTTTGTTGTTGTTATTGTTGTAGGGTTTGAATGCTGGGGATGGGTGCTGTCCCTGAGCTCTTCAGCTCAAGGCTAGTGCTCTACCACTTGAGCCACAGTGCCACTTCTGGTTTTCTGGTGGCTAATTGGAGATGAGTCTCAGCCTTCTGAGTCCTGGGATCACAGGTGTGTGCAAGCATTCCTGGTCCTGAAAAGTTGGACTTTGTAATGAGGATTTGTGCTAGGAAGGGTGAAGTGGAGGGGATGGGGAGAAATATCAGTTCCATATTGAAACCTTCTTTTTAGTTCTTTTTTCTAGCCCAGAATTTAAGAGAATAGTAGTTGAGTGAGGGGGGGAAAAAAAGCAGGTTTTGTTCATTTATTCACTCAGTGAATAGTCAAATGGTCAGTTTCTTCTGTGTGGAAGGAATGAGGAAGGGAACAAATACACACCCTCAGGTTGAAGAACAATTGTGGCTGTAATGAGATGACTGCATTCTAACTCCTGTCAGATAATTTGCCACCTTGTCTTTGGTTCTAGGTGTCGGTAATTAACACTGTGGACACGTCCCATGAGGACATGATTGTAAGTATCTTGTCAGCCGTCCTGGGCTGTGCGTGTGGGCATTTCGTGACGCCTTCCTGTCGGGCATTTATGAGGCAGGCACAGCCCTGCAGTGCTTGCCAGTCATGCTGTAGCCTCAGGCATGCGGACACCGTCCCTGCCATCCTCCTCCGTTGGCAGGACTCTGACAGTGTCTGCGGTGGAACCTTAGGGGTTGTGTGTAGTTTAGGGCCCTTGGTCTTTGAGCACCACACTGAGCCTCGTGCTCTGGAACTGTGGCCAGGAGGACGAAGAGCTTCCTGTCATTTTTTTGTTGTTTCTTGGCCAGTCCTGGGGCTTGAGGCCAGAGCTTGGATGCTGTCCCCAAGCCTCTTTATGCTCAAGGCTAGCGCTCTACCATTTGAGCCACAGCGCCACTTCTGGCTTTTTCTGAGTAGTTTATTGGAGATAAGAGTCTCACAAGGACTTCTCTTCCCTGACTGGCTTTGAACCACCAACCTCAGATGTCAGCGTCCTGAGTAGCTAGGATTACAGGTGTGAGCCGCCAGCACTTAGTTCTTCCTATCACTTTTTAGTCCCATTGGGAAGAAAGTCAGCAGATGTTAGAGGGCAGCCGCAGAGGAAGGCTGAGGCAGAGCTGTCTGGGACCAGTGCAGACAGCAGGCCAGAGCAGGCCTCTGAGCCTGCAGCCTAAGTTGGCAGGGCTTTGGGGAATGGTAGAGTCCCTATCCAGAAAGGCTGCCCCAGCAGCCCGTGAGCACAGCCGCGCCAGGTGGCTCTAGTGTTGCCTTCAGGGTTCCTGCCCTTACAGCTTGTCCCCAGCAGGTATTTTTGAGTATCCGAGAAGCTCACCCGTTAGAGTGATCCCTGAGTGGTCCTGCGGGGCGGAAGATAAGGTCTGAGTGTCCTTTTGAGAGCCAGCCTCAGTTTCTTCATGGGAAGACCGCGGACATGCTCGCTGCTTGCTGCTTAGGCTTTGAGAACAGTTGAGCCACACTGCAACTCCCCTAGAAGCAAATACAGTCACAAGCCCCATTAAGATAAACCCAACGGGTGGCTCATGCCTGTAATCCTAGCTACTCACGAGGCTGAGATCTGAGAATTACGGTCCAAAGCCAGCCCAGGTAGGAGAATGTGTGAGATTCTTCTCTCCAGTTAACCAACAAAAAGAAGTGAATCTGTGGCTCAAGTGGTAGAGTGCTGGGCCTTGAGTTCAAGTCCCAGAGCAACATACACACAGATGAGGAAACTCAAGGTCAAAGGTTCACAGCAGATAAGCTGAGGAGATGGGGCGTTTAGATCTCAGGTACTCTCGCCCTCCTGCCCCTCTCTGCTCTGCTCTGCTCTGCTCTGGGACAAGGACTTTGGAGTCTACTGCCGTGCCAGCCTTGCAAGAAAGCGGCAGCTGGAGGGTCAGAGGCGTCCTGGTAGGGAGGGGAGAACGGAATGTCAAGGCAGTAGCTTCCTTTGAAAGGTAACAGTGGCTCCTGGGGACTGAACTCCCCAAGGAGGGATGACCGGGGAGAGTGGCATTTGTTGAAACACCAGCCAGCAGGAGGGAGGGGTAGAGCTGGGGCAGCAGGCACCCCACATCAGAGAACGTGGTCCCTTAGTGACGCTCAGGGCTTTGCTCCCGTTGGTGGAGTCAAGTTCTAGCAGCACTGTGCTCAAAGGATCCAGGGCCTCTGTGGAGGAGCCCTGTGTCTAGCCCATAGGGCACCCCAGACGACCTGCCAGCTCTCAGCATCAGCCTTGGTTTGTGGCTGGGCTGTCCCAGGGCATCTCCCACGGCAGCCTGCAGCGCCTGTCCCAAAGGAAGAGGGTGTCTAGGTCAGCTTCCCCCCTCCCAACCTCCCCCCCTCCCCATGCCCCTCGGCGGGATTGGAAGGCACCTGTGCAGGGTCTGTAAAACCCGCAGGGCTAGACAGCACCCCCTGGGGACGCTGCTCGAGTGTGGAGTGCTTGCCTAGCAAGTGCTAGGCCCCGAGTCTAGCCCCAGTACAGCCACAAAAAGAAGAAATGGCCTTAACTAGGAAGACAGTGGCTGGCGGAGGCTGCCACACTCCCTTCTTGCCTGGTGGTGGTGTTTCATTGAGACTGATTTCCACACCCGGCCCAGCCCGCAGCCGCCTCCCACGCTGTCCTCTCTTTGCAGCACGATGCCCAGATGGACTACTATGGCACCCGCCTGGCCACCTGCTCCTCTGACAGGTCTGTCAAGATCTTTGATGTGCGCAACGGAGGGCAGATTCTCATCGCCGACCTCCGAGGGTAGGTGGCGGCGGGGCTCTGGGAGGTGAGGGAAGAATGGATGTCTCCGTGCCAGCCTCCCTGCACCTGCAGCAGCAGTGTGGCTCACGGCATGGGCAGAGCCAGGTGTGAGCACCAGCTCTGCCGCTCAGTCCACTAGAACACAGTGTGGCAGGGCAGGAAGCTGTGCTCGGCCGCAGCAGGGCTAGTCTGCCTCCCTCCTGGGGAGCAGGACTGTCAGGCTGGGCGCCACAGCCCGCTGTACTCACCAGAGGTGAGCGCTCCCTGAGTCCCGTCCTGCCTGTGCCTGGCAGGCGTTTGCAGATGGTCAGTTCTCCCTTGTCCCTACCAAGGCAGGACGCTGAGGGGTCCGGAGGCTCGGCTGCACGGCCACTTCTCCCCCTCCCCAATCTGCAGCTATTCTCTTAGCTGAGGCTTGTAACCCGGTTTGCACGGATATCCAAGGGCTTTCTGGACAGATTCAGCAGTGGGTGAGCCGCGGCGGGGAGACGCTCTGGCGTGTGTGTTCTCTGCGTGTAGCACTTCCTCAAGCCGCAGATTTGTAGTGCCTATCTCTTTGTCACACACACTAGTGATGGGAGTTCTCAGATTAGTTGTTCGGCTGTCTCAGAATATTGATACACGGAATGTTGAAACACATCAGGACTTTGAAATTGCACGAGGTAATAAGACCTGCCACCCAAGTTCATTGCTTCATGCTATTGCTTCTTTATACATTGTTTCTTAACATTTGGATACATTTCAAGATAGTGGGATTTTCGCAAGCCTCCTTCACAGAAGGATTCCCAAAAGGGTTTATGCGGTGAGCAGGCTGCACAGGTGCAAAGCTAGGTGTGATGGTGCGTGCGCATGGTCCCAGCACTCTGAAGACAGAGACGGGCGGGTTGTGAAATCTGAGCCAGCCTGGCTTACACAGGGAGACCCTGTCTCAAAACAAAGGAGGAATCCGGGTAGTTGCTCAGAATTAAAAAAAACAAAGGAAGTCACTCCTTTGGGACAGTGGGTCTGAAAGGCGCCTTATGTGTCAGTCGGTGTCTGTGCTCACAGCTGCTCAGAGCTGCCAGGTGAGGTTAGCTGCCTGCACGGTGAGGCTGAGCCTTGAGCTCAGAGGATGCGAGCTAGCCCAGGGATGACACGCACGCCAGCACGCATGACCACACCGCCATTGCTTTCACCCCAGTTAAGCTGCCGGTGATGGGAAGGCGCTCACCCCTCCCTGCCAGAGCTGCTTACAGAGTATGGACTGAGTACTGGCCCATGTGCATGAACAAGGCCAGGGAGAGGCGCAGGCCATACCTTATGAGAGGCAGTGGGGATGGCACTGGAAAACCAGGCTGCCTCCTGTGGAGGAGGGCCTCTGGGAAGCGGGTGTTCACTGAGCATGTGGGGCAGGCCTCCTGGTGCGCTCCGGTGCGGCGCCGGCAGGTACAGGCTGCGCCCGCTGCACCCGAGCAAGCAGCCTTCCTGCCTAGCAGGCACAGGGAGCCCAAAGGCCATGAGTGCAGGTTGCCTGACCAGCCAGTGCCGGCCAGTGCCAGCCAGCAAGAGCCGCGTGTCCTGTGGCTCTCCTTTTGAAATTCTTGGGCAGACATCGCAGCAGCCTGCCAAGGAGACCATTCATTTCTGCCCTACACAGTGCCTGGCAGGGTGGGCGCCCCGGCCCTCTGAGCCAACCCCCTCCCTTGCAGGCACGAGGGCCCAGTGTGGCAGGTGGCCTGGGCTCACCCCATGTACGGCAGCGTCCTGGCGTCCTGCTCCTACGACCGCAGGGTCATCGTCTGGAAAGAGGAGAATGGCACGTGGGAGAAGACTCACGAGCACGCCGGACACGACTCGTCAGGTACAGCGGGTGGGCGGGCGCGCCACAGGCCTCGGGCGGGAAGGGCCTCCGTCCTGGCCAGGCCCGAAGCCTCCACTGCTGCCCATGGATTCCTTCACCGCCGTCACAGCCTTCGGTCTCAGGCTGTCCTCCTCCCACTGGGGTTTTAGTAAGGGAGATGCGATCACATGATTAATAGGTTATTTCCATGTCCGTAACTGACAGAATGCCCACTGCCTGCTGCCTAGTCCTGGGGTTGTTTGGGGAAGTTTGTGAAGCCTTGAGCAGGAAGGAATGTCTGCTCACTGCGTCCCTCCGCTCCCTGCAGTGAACTCTGTGTGCTGGGCCCCCCATGACTATGGCCTGATCCTGGCCTGCGGAAGCTCGGACGGGGCCATCTCCCTGCTGACCTACGCCGGGGAAGGCCAGTGGGAAGTGAAGAAGATCAGCAATGCCCATACCGTAAGCCCGGCCGCCTCTCGTGGGGGCCGTGCGGGATGCGCGTCTGCTTGGCTCCCTAGAGGGGGCCCGGCTGGGTGGTGGGCTGCAGAGGGCTGGGCGCTGGCACGCCTCCTTGGTCTGAAGGAGGGCAGCAGGGGCCACCTCGGCCCTGGATGCCATGGGGACCCCCAGGACAGAGCAGGGTCACAGAAAGCATTGTTGAGCTTGAGTCCCCATCTTCCTAGGCATCTCCAAGGCACCAAGGTTCGAGGGAGCTCAGGCTTCCTCGTACTTCGTGTGCGTCCTGGAATTTTCCACAGCTCTGTCTCTGACAGCTGGCCCAGCTGCGGTGCCGTGTCAGCCCATTCTCTTTGCTGGCAGCACATTGTGAACATGTGTTACACTGACCCAGGATCTGATGGGCGGGGGGGATTATACAGAAGAGCATGCCCGCAGAAAGATAGGCCTCAGTGTGCAGAAGCTTCTGTCTGTCACAGAACACACATTTTTACGTAGGGTCACCAGTGTTTCCTCAGTGACAGCGGCTGCTGAGCAGTAGGGCCTGTTGCTTTGTAACATGTGGACGCATCTGCCAGGACCTGCACTGGCCTGGAATCGCCCCCAGAAAAATGCATTCTTCTCATTAGCACACAGACATCTTTATTTATTTGTCTTTTCTTTTTTGATACTGGGGATTGAACCCAGGACATTGCACTTTCTAGACAAGCGCTTTGCCACTGGGCTACATCCCAGCCCTATTTTTTAAAGTCCAGTAGTTTTACAGGAGTAGCATGCTGTCTCTCTCTCTCTGTCTCTCTCTCTCACACACACACATACTTTTTTTTTTCAATGGCACTAGGGATTGAATTCTGAACCTCACATTATTTCGCTTCTGATTGTTCTGAGTGTTTTGGCTGTTTTTCGTTCATGTCATCTGATTCATCTCTGGCTTACTGTATTTGCTGTATTCTGTGTGTTCCGTGTAGGACGGCCTTGAATGACCTCTGGAGCGGCCTGGTGGTCGTGCGTTCCTTAGAGAGTGCGCATGCCTCCTCCTGGCATCTGCTCTTGCTGGACACATGATCTTGGTGGGCAGTTGCTTGCTTTCAGGACTTGAACACATCATTCTGTGCCTTCCTGGCCTTTAGGTTTCTGAGGGGAAATCCATTGTTAGTCTAATGAATCACCTTTGAACCCACTTTAATGCACGCTGTAGAGAAGGCAGTGCAATCTCCTTGAGGGGACTTAGGTGGTCATCACACCGGCCACCTGACAGGACCCGGTCATGCGCATGGCAGCCTTGGTCTGCGCGGGACGGCAGTGGCACCGCACCTCCCTCTCCGCAGATCGGCTGCAATGCCGTCAGCTGGGCCCCTGCTGTCGTCCCTGGGAGCCTCATAGACCAGCCATCAGGCCAGAAGCCCAGTTACATCAAGAGGTTTGCCTCGGGCGGCTGTGACAACCTCATCAAGCTGTGGAGGTGAGCGGCCGGGCGGGCTTCCGGGGACATCGCACCCCGCCACAGTCCACAAGAAGGGGGCGCTGTCCTCCCCCGCTGCTGCGAGCACGGCGGCAGCCCGTCACCTTTCCTCGGGCACCTCTACCACCGGCCATTTGCTATTGGTGCTGCGGAGACAGCGTTTCCTAGGGGAAATGAACAGCAGAGTCTGGGTGCACGGCCGTATTCCACTGTCCCTCTGTCCTTCCCCTGTAGGGAAGAGGAGGACGGCCAGTGGAAGGAGGAGCAGAAGCTGGAGGCCCACAGTGACTGGGTTCGAGACGTGGCCTGGGCTCCCTCCATCGGCCTGCCCACCAGCACCATCGCCAGCTGCTCCCAGGTCAGCCCCGGCCCCAGGGAGCCCCGGCCACCCTGCCGTGGGCCGGGGGGAGGCGCACTGCAGGCGGAGGGCGGGCAGTGGCCCTGGGGACCCTCGGGTGGGGGGTGGGGGTGAGGAGCATGGGGACCAGGCTGTGGTGAGGCCGGGCACAGGTGGTTTGACACCAGGGAGGGAAAATTATGCCAAGAGGGCCAGGCTCAGCCCAGATTTCCTCCCGTGGGGGTGCTGCGTGTTGTAGGCGCGGAGCAGCGCCTCCTCCAGACACGGCGCAAATGGAAGGCAAGGCCGAGCTTGGGGATGAGTCACACAGCACCAGCCAGGCCTCTGGTAGTTGGACTGAGCTCTAACATTCAAAGGAAGCCAGGTGCCAGTGGCTTACACCCGTCATCCTAGCTGCTCAGGAGGCTGAACTCCCAGGACCAAGGATTGAAGCCGGTCCAGGCAGGAATGGCTGTGGCGCCCTTTTTATTTTTTTTGCTAGTCCTGGGGCTTGAACTCCGGGCCTGGGCACTGTCCCTGAGCTCCTTCTGCTCAAGGCCAGCACTCTACCACTTCACCACAACACCACTTCAGGCCTTTTCTGTGTATGTAGTGCTGAGGAATGGAACCCAGGGCTTCATGCATGTGAGGCAAACACTCCACACTGAGCCACCTTCCCAGCCCCGTGTGACACTCATCTCCAATCAGTCCCCAGAAAGCCAGAAGTGGAGCTGTGATTCGAGTGGTAGAGTGCCAGCCTTAAGCGAGAAAGCTCAGCTCAAGCCCCAGTGCAGGCACAAACGCTCAAAAGGGGTTTTCCTTTTTCCGCTTGTCCATCCTAAGCCAGGCTTGGTCCGGAGGCAGCGGAGGGGAGGGCGGGGGGGGGGGCTCGGGGAAGGCAGAGCAAGGGAGAGCTGGCAGCGCCATCCGCGCTCAGAGCCAGGGAGCCAAGGACCTGGGAGACCCTGGCCTGCCGTGAGGCAGGCAGAGTGTTGTGTGCGTCACCCACCGCCAGAGGCCTCTGCCCCCAGGACGGCCGGGTGTTCATCTGGACCTGCGACGACGCCTCGGGCAACATGTGGTCGCCCAAGCTGCTGCACAAGTTCAGCGACGTGGTGTGGCACGTGAGCTGGTCCATCACTGCCAACATCCTGGCTGTCTCGGGCGGCGACAACAAGGTACAGTGCCCTGGGGCGGGGTGGTCAGACCTGCCGCAGGCATGTCTCCCCGGGGGGAGGGCTGGGCTGAGCATGTCTCCATTGCGTCATTGTCGCAGCCCGTGGACACTGTGTCCCTGAGCACTGGAAGGCAGCTCAGGCTACGTGAGGCCCCGCTCTGCTCTGCATTCGTCCCGCTCACCACTCAGCACCTTCAGGGTGCTGTTCGAAGCCCACACAGGCAGGAGGGCAGTGAGGGGAAAGTGTGGGACTCATGGCTGCTGCCGAGAGCAGCAAGCACGCGCCAGGGCCTTTCTGAGCATTGTCACCACGTGTAACGGATCTGCACGTGCCAGCCGCCAGACACGCTCCATCCCATTAAGCATCTGCCTGCGCATCTGAGCTCACAAACGCCTCTCCTTTGTGACTGAGGGACTGCGCTTAGCATGGTGCTGTAATTCCTTCCTTTCTTCCCTCCCTCCTTCATGCCTTCCTTCCCTCCTTGCTTCCTCTTGCTTGCTTCCTTCCTTTCCTGCTTCCTTGCTTGCTCTCCTTCCTCTTCCTCCCGGGCTAATACGAGGGTTCTCGTGGGCTGCACTCCCTTGTTGTCATGGAGATGTCGGGCAGTGGATTAGTGGGACAGACCTCCGGCTTTGCAGACTGATTTGGGGAGCATGGCACTGGGGTACTAGGGCCAGGGGCCACCACCCACTCCCCCTGACCCCCTCTTTTCAGGGGCTTTCCACTTTCTTAGTTACAGACTCTCCAGAGACAAAGCTTTCCCTTCTTACCACTTCTGCAGTAACTTTTGGTGTGGAAGGAATGGGCCCTGGAGCCTGAGTGGGCATGATAATGGTCGCACACCCCGCACACGACCCCCACATGTATCATGGCAGCTCTTGAGTCTGGCTGACACCGTTCCCATGCCCGCATCTCCATGCCCCGTCCCTTCGTGACCACTGAGGCCAACCCCAGTGCTGCTCTGCCGCGGGCCTCTGCCTAGTAGTCCCAGGTGGGCGGAGGCCGGACGGCGGGGACCAGGGGCAGGTGAGGACCCAGACCTTGTGCACCTTGCAGGTGACGTTGTGGAAAGAGTCAGTGGACGGACAGTGGGTGTGCATCAGTGATGTCAACAAGGGCCAGGGGTCCGTGTCCGCTTCGGTCACAGAGGGCCAGCAGAATGAGCAGTGACCCGGGCTGGCGCTGCCACCCGCAGCTCCAGGACCTCCGCCACCCAGGAGAAGAGCCACTGACTCCACCCAGACTCCCTGCCCAGGAGTAATCACATGCCGCCACAGACGGCGTCTGCCTCCACCCGATTCCACGGGTGAGCGCATTTGTCTTAGGAAGAGGAAACTACAAATGACTTAATCTATTATTTTAAAGTATTTTTTGGCCATTTTTATGTGTCTTTGGGTTTAAGCATTATTGGGGGGCAGCTGTTTCCAAAATAAATAAAACCATATTGCTTATAATCCTTCCTGCATTGTCCAAATACGCCATAAAGAAGCCTGGGCAGCCGGACGCCGGCGGCTCACGCCTGTCATCCTAACTACCCAGAAGGCTGAGATCTGAGGATCCAGATTCAGAGCCAGCCTGGGCAGCAGAAGCAATGGGACTCTTATCTCCAGTTAACCACCTAAAATCCAGCAGTGGCGCTATGCCTCAAAGTAGTAGAGTGCTAGCATTGAGCAAAAATGCTGCCAGTGCCCAGGCCCAGAGTGCACAACAACAACAGAAGCCTGGTTGGACTGGACTGAGTTCTTCCAGCTCCACCCTGAACAGCAGGACTGCGCTTGCACCCCTATGCACTGGGGACACCCCAGAGAACAGGTGTGGGTGAGCTACGGGTGCCACAGTTGGGAGTTCACCTGCTCCTTGGTGTTAGGCCTGCCAGGAAAGAGCATCCTGGGTCCAAGATGGCGAGCCTCGCTTCACCCACCCCTTCCTGCTCCACCTCATTCACGCCATGCAGCAGGGGTCCCCAGCTCCCTGAGGAGGCCTGCCTAGGAAGTCAGGAAAGCTGGTGCTGCGGTCCTGACCCGCTCGCTCCCTGGCCCCCAAGGTCTGTGCCCACCACAGACCCCCGGCCCTCCCAGCAGTGACGCAGGGCAATGCGAACGCCAAACGTGGACACCCAGGAGCTTGCTGAAGCGCGCACTCGTGTGCTCACTCTGCCGTCCATTATTGTTCAGCAGCAGAACCTGGTTTCTGAAATGAGCACAATATGTAAGATAGGAGACAGAGGCAGGACGACTGAAAGTTCTAGGCCAGCACTGGTTATATAGCAAGGCCCTGTTTCAGAAGAACCAAAAAAACCTGTAACTAAGATCTGAGGAACATGGTTCAAAGCCAACCCCAGCAGAAAAGTCTGTGGGACTCTTACCACCAATACGCTACTCAGAAAAAGCCAGAAGCAGTGCTGTGTCTCAAGTGGTAGAGTATAGCCTTGAACACAAAGAGATTCAGGGACAGTGCATAGGCCCTGACTTCAAGCCCCAAGACCAGCACCAAAAAAAGTTGGAAAGAAAGGCATTGATCAAGATGTACTGTGCTCACAAATTGACATGTTGAATTAAAATTCTTTTGTGCAACTGAAGAGTAATTTTTTTTAAGACCCAGAAATGACTAGTAGATAAGAACCTTCAAACCAGCTCTTCCACACAAAGAAGTTTACAGACAGTGAGGGAGGACGCAGGTAATATCAGACACCACAGGAAGGAAGGTCAGGCAATTTGAAGAATGCTAGAAACCGCAGGGAGAAAATGGGTCAGGCAACTGTAAGCTGTGGGACAGTCTCAAGTAAACTAAATTCTGAGGGGATGAGGAGGAGGAAAAGACAGAAAAAATACTTCAAACAATAGTCAAACTTCTTTCCATATGTGATTAAAACTATAACTTACAGATCAAAGATAATCAGAGCCCCAGGAGTACACAGAAATCTCAAAATCAGGGGCTGGGAAGGGAGCTCAGTGATAGAGCGCTTGCCTTGCATGCCTGAGGCCCTGGGTTTGATTCTTCAGCACCACATAAGCAAAAAAGAAAAAAGCCGGAATTGGCACTGTGGCTCAAGTGGTAGAGCGCTAGCCTTGAGCTGAAGAGCTGAGGGACAGCGCCCAGGCCCAGAGTTCAGGCCCCACGACCAGACCCAAAAAAAAAAAAATCATATTACTAGAATAAGTCAACAAAAAGGCAGACATTACAGAAAAGAGGGCAACCACTTTTCTTGGTAGAATGCCTGCCTAATAAACAAGTACAAGGCTCTGAACTCAAGCCCCAGTAACACACACACACACACACAAATTATGGGTGGGGGGGAAGTCTGAAAGAACTGTCAGTATAAGCCATGCACCGGTGGCTCATGCCTGTAATCCTAGCTACTCAGGAGGCTGAGATCTGAGGAAGGATTGCAGATCAGAGCTAGACCAAGGATGCAAGTCCATGAGACTTTTATCTCCAATTAACTACCAGAAAACCAAAGTGGTAGAGGCTAACTGTGAGCAAGAGAGCTCAGGGCTAGTGCCCAGACCCCAAGTTCAAGCCCCATGACCAACACCAAACAAACAAAAAACAAAAAGCCAACAACAGTACAGTTTCAGAGGCTTGGCAGGCTGTTAAGGCAGGACATCATGTTGGGAGCAGGGATAAAGGAAGCCTGCTCACCTGGTGGCACTGTGGCTGAGAATGTAGCTTAGTGGTAGAGTGTATTAATATCAGATTTTTTTAAACTAGAATTGTCATCAAAAGGGCATATAAAAGCATTGATTCATCAGGAAGATATAACCCTAAAACAGCTTTTAATAGATAAAACAGAAATAGAACTAAAGCCCCAGGAAGCTCTGGAGAAAGAACAGCGGTGGATCCCATCCTCTGGAATTGCCAGACTGGCCTCGGGCATTACCCAGATCCAAAAGGGCTCCCCCAGCTCAGTCCTGTGCTTCCTTCCCCCACCACCCCAAACTCCTAGCTGGGGTTTGTGTACATTACTCAACCAGCCTGCCAAGCACTCTATGGGCACCTCTGTTCTGCCACCATGGCAGGCTGCTGGGTGGACTGTGGTATGTGTGTAGTAAGGGGGTCCCCTCCTGGCAACCTTGCTGCTCCCATCCTGACAACCTCGCTGTTGCCAAGATAATGCAGCGTGGTGGCGATGGCCTGTGTTTGCTTGCCCGTGGCTCTATCTAAGATCAACATGGCAAGTCCAGCCTCAGGGGGATGTGGGGTGTCAGGAAGAGGTGCTCGTGACTGAGCAGGTAGCTGGTTGTCATGGCTAGAGAATTCCTGTTTGTGGAGCATCAGGGATGGGGGTAGAGCAAGCCCCCAGGTCTTCTCTGTGGGTTCTGGGTTTCTTCACCAACTCTACCTCCAGCCCCTCCACCTCAGGGCCTAAAGTGGTCAAAGTTCAAGTGGGGGGGGGTTGCGGATGTGTGTGCACGTGTGTGTGTGCATACATGCTAGTTCTAGAGCTTGAACCCAGGCCTGCGCAGTCCCTGAGATGTTTTTGCTTAAGGCTAACTACCACTTGAGCCAGAGCTTCACTTCTGGCTTTTTTTTGGGCGGGGGTAGTTCACTGAAGATAAGAATCTCAGAGACTTTCCTGCCTTTGCTGGCTTTAAACCACAATCCTCCGATCTCAGACTCCTGAGTAGCATGTGAGCCACCGGCACCTGGTTAGAGACATCTTGCATAGACAGCCCAGAAATTAACTGAAGTGCAGCCCCTGGCTGAAGCCCCTTCACCCCGCCTCCTTGGTGGCCCTGGTGCTCCTGGGAGAGGAACGCAGGAGCTGGTTCCAGTGGGCAAGGTGGCATGCAGAAGGCTGGCCAGCCCAGTCCGTGGACACCAGTGGTGCGTCAGAACAGGCAAGGCCCTGGGGCTGTCCTGGTGAGGGACCAGGAGAAGGAGAGAGCCAGGGCCAGTGCACAGCAAGGCCAGGCTGCATCTGGGAGCCACCCTGCCCTCCCCTCCCCCAGGACCAGCCCCCCTTCCACGGCTAATGCACAGCTGGAGCGAGTCCCCATCCCAGGCCGACCCAGCCATGCTTCAAGGTGCCTGACCTCTACTGTGGATTTTTAGTTCCCAAGGAATGCGACTCCGCTGTGGAAAGCAGGCCACCCCCAAGACGGGATTTCTAGATGAAAACAAACAGCAGCCTTTCTATATAAGGAGCAGCCAGGCCCTGGGCCCCACATCTGCCAGGAATCCCAGGTAGGCAGGCAGTGTGCGTGTGTGTGTGCATGCGTGAGTGTACGTGTACGTCTATAGGTTTAGCTTACTGTGTGGCTGCTGGCCCTGCACCTCAGCAGGCCCATCTGAGCAGAGGGTCATGGGGCCTCAGGCCTGGCTGCACCAGTCAAAGCCTGCTTCAGGAGCGCTGACCCTGCTGCTTCAGCTTCCTAATCTCATTAAAAAGTGTGGCGGAGCCCCCAGGGCATGGGACAAGGGACTCAGGTCAGAGGGCAGAGGGAAGAGGCTGGGTGAGCTGGAGACCTGGGTGGGGAAGCCTCCAGCACAGTCTAGAAGAGAGCACCCAGCCTGGACCCTCTCCAGCCTCCGTTCTTCCCCCTGGGGCTGGGCTCTCAGGCCACTGCCCGGAGATCCTCTCTCTGAAGGGCCATCTGTTCCGGTTGCCAGCCAGGGCCGACATGCTTTCTGCAGGGACCGTGTGCAGCCTGCTGCTTCTCAGCGTGCTCTGGGTGGACGTGGCCATGGCAGGCTCCAGCTTCCTGAGCCCCGAGCACCAGAAAGCCCAGGTGAGCCCAAGCCATCTGCCTCCCTACCTCTCAGCACCAGCTGCGGGCTCTGGAGCAGCAGCCTGACTCCATTCTGCTCCCAGCAGAGATGGGCCCAGCTCCCTAAAGAGAACCTCTCTCCTTCCTAGCAGAGAAAGGACTCCAAGAAGCCACCCAGCAAGCTGCAGCCCCGGGCTCTGGAAGGCGGGCTCGGGACAGAGGACAGGGGGCCGGAGGAAGGCGCAGAGGACGAGCTGGAGGTCCGGGTGGGTACTACAGGGCATGTCTGGGGGAGAGGACGGGAGAAGGTGCTTCCAAGCTATTAGCACCTCATAGACGAACGTGCGCGGGGCTTGGCCACACGGATTGGGCCGAAGGTGCCAGGTGGTGCAAAGAAATGGGCAGGAAGGGCAGCTTGGTTTCCTGAGGGGCTGTGAAGGCCTGGGCTGGTGGAGTGCTTGGAGACAGGGCTGCTAGGGACATGGCCACAGTTCAGTCTCTTGCCCCAAAGACTATGGGGTGCTTTCCCATCTCGCCAAAGCTATGAGCTCCATCCAACAGGCCACCCAGACCCCCAAGAAACAGGGACAAAGGGAAGAGGGCTGGCACAGAAGGCTCCTGGCAGGTCAGGCCTATGTGCCAGGGCCGGGCACACACCACCCCAAACCACCCTGCCGGGGCCAGAAAACGATCCCTGGCGGTATTTGCTTTCCACAATTCCAAAAAGGCAAGAGCTGGGCTCCGCAGCTTTAGCATCAGCTCGGGAGGATGCGGCGCGGGCCGTGGGAGCTGTGCGGAGGGAGGCAGCCAGCGAGCATCCCTGCTGGCTCCACCGGTGGCGCCTGCAGCCAGAGGCCTCGGTCCTGGCTCCTCAGAGACAGAACCCAGGCCGCGTTGGGCCGGGGTGTTTGGAGCGGGGCAGGCGCGATGCTCACGCGTCCCGGCCTCGTGCCCTCCTTCCTAGTTCAACGCCCCCTTTGATGTGGGCATCAAGCTGTCAGGAGCACAGTACCAACAACATGGCCGGGCCCTCGGGAAGTTTCTTCAGGACATCCTCTGGGAGGAGGCCAGAGGTGAGTCCTTGTGTGTGTGTGTGGGGGGGGGGGGCGGAATCCAACGGGAGCTGAGGGTGACTTCTCCCAACCCCCACTGCCAGAAAGAGCCTCCCCTCCCGCCCCTCACCGCCTCCCCTCCCGCCCCTCACCGCCTCCGCTCCTCACCGCCTCCCCTCCCGCTCCTCACCGCCTCCCCTCACCGCCTCCGCCCCTCCGCTCCTCACCGCCTCCCCTCCCGCTCCTCACCGCCTCCCCTCACCGCCTCCGCCCCTCACCGCCTCCCCTCACCGCCTCCGCTCCTCACCGCCTCCCGCTTCTCTCGGCCTCCCGCTTCTCTCCGCCGGCGGCTGCAGAAGGTGCCAGCAGGCCGGCTCTGCCCAGGCGCACGCACGCACGCACGCACGCACGCGCGGGCGGTGGGGCGGAGCGGACTCGGCTGCTTGTCTTTCAGAGGCCCCAGCAGACGAGTGACGCCTGCGCAACGCAACGCAACACTGTTTCCCAGGTGTGGACGGCCACGCCACGCCACGCCACGCCACGCCACGCGCCCGCCCAGTGCCCTTTGCTAGATTACAAATAAATGTTCAGACTGGAAGCCAAAGCTTCAAAGTGGGAGTTTATTTCACCAAGAGGAAATGTTCACATTTTACTTAAAAGCAAGTTTAAAAAGTGGAGGAGAAAACAACCCTGGCTATGGCCATGGAAGAGACGCGGCAGGCCAGGAGTGCGGCTCTCGGGAGCAGCGGCCTCCCGAGGCCCGCGGAGGCCCCGCGGACGGGAGGGCGCAGCTGCCGGGCGGGGGACCAGGGGACTTGAGCCTGCCCCCCCCCCGCCACCCCACCTGCCCCCTTCTAGGAAAGCCAGGCAAAGCTGGGGCCCTGTGTGGGCAAGGCGGCGACCACCCGGGCCCTCGACTCACTGCTGGCCCGTGGTAAGCAGCCGTGATGACAGAGGGACCTGTACTCGGCGGAGGGAGATCCCAAGATGAGCACTGTCCACTTCTAGTGTGGACAAAAGCGTGCTCAGGCCGGTGCCAGGGGCGCACGCCTGACGTCAGGAGGCTGACATCTGAGGGTCACAGTTCAAATCCAGCTCAGGCAGGAAAGCCCAGGAGACTGTCTCCAACCAGCTACCAAAAAAAGCCCGAAGTAGTGCCGTGGCATGCGGGAGAGGGCTGGCCTTAAGCACGAAAGCTCAAGGACAGCGTCCAGGCCCTGAGCGCAAGGCCAGGCCTGCCACCACACACACACACACACACAAAACAGCTCGCTTAGGAAAAACCCAGAGGGTGCCCTCTGTATAGCCAGGCTGGACATCACTTTTTGGAAACTTCACAGGGCCCCAAAGCCAAGCCAGGATTCCCTCCCCTCCAGAAAAATCCCCTCAGCACTAGCACTTGATGACCACTGACATGGATGACACAGGAGCCTAGATCCCTGCTAAAGACAACCAGCCGGGCCAGGGCCGCTCAGACACCATGGACAGACGCAGCCAGCAAGGAGGCCCAGAGCACAAGTTCCTCACAAACAGCGAGGGCAGCCGGGCCAGCCACCCAAAGCCAGCCCAGGGCGCTGCCCTCCTAATGGCGCACACTGCAGGTCTATACCCGAGGGAGCAGAGCAGAGGGGACGCTGTGCGCTTGTTGCCGACCCCTGCCATGGCCAGCCTGCGCCGCGGGCCTCACCAGCAGGCGGGCGGGCCTCACAGGCCTGCACTCCGGACCAGCTGGGTGGCAATAAAACGCACTGTACCCTCGGCAGTGCCCCGAGTCTGCCATCACTGAGGCACCGTGCCAGCTGCCCCACGGGAGATGGGGCAGACACGATGAACAATCGATCGGGGCACGGTATTTTAGAACATCAATGCATCTGCCCCTGGAACATACAGCACTGGAACCAGCAGGCCGTCACGCACAGATGGCCAGCAGCTGGCCGCCCCACCCTACCTGACCAGTGCTGTTCCTTTCAGAGCCCACACGGCCTCGCCGCCACAGGCCTGCAGGGGGCAGCACACCAACACAGCACTTGGGGCGCGCCAACACCCTGGGCACAGCAAGGGGGCTAGGAAACAGCCTTCATCTCTGCATGGGTGCAGTATGGCTAAGCAACCCTGTGGGCCATGGCGGGCACCACCCTGGGAGGGTCACACGGGGATGGTGACACCGGATGAACGGGGGGCTCTATCTAGTGTTTGAGACCGTGCAGGCCTCGGTGAGCAGGGCTGCCTCCTCCGGGAACTTGGTCCACGAGAAAGCCTCTTGCTCAGACCCCAGCCTGTCTCTCGCTGAGCCTGCACACTGACGGCAGGAAGCCAACAAGCCCAGCAGCTGACCCCGCCCGTCTGGCAGTGCTGGCTTCTGCCGCTGGCCAACAGCGAGCAGCAGGGACATCGGGGAAGCGTGCCAGGGCCGGGGGGACAGACTTCCCCGCAGCGTCCCCTCCAGGAGTGCCCATGAGAACCGAGGCAGACGTGTCACGCATGCTCATCACAGCAGAGGGGACTTTATTCACACCGCTCGCTCACACAGCTGGAGCAGGGGTTCAGTCTGGCCAACTCGGCATCCCCTTCCACGGCACCCTTATTGGCAGGTGCCCTGGATGGACTGCTGTGCCCAGCAGGGTAAATCCTGGTGCTCTTCAAGAGCTGTGTCCCCTCCCACGGCCACGCTAGCACACCCACCCACCAGCACAACGCTGAAGCCTGGCGCGAGGCTCCTGTGGCTCTGTCCTGACAGGCTCCAGATGCATCCTTGCCCTCCGACCCAGCCCGCGCTGTCAGCTGCTGGTTGCCCTGGAGGGTTTGGAAGAGAAGAGAAGGTGCTGAGCCAGGTTCGCTTGACACGGACCCGGCCTCGCCGCCCCAGGCGTGCGTCGTGGCCGTGGCGTGCGCAGGCCTGCTTGTGCGCCTGGCGCATCCGTGCCTCGTGCCCGGGACACCTGCTCAGAGACTGTACAGGCGGCTGGTGTTCTCCCGCAGGATGGCCAGCGTGCGCGACAGCGGCTTCTCCTTCACCCTGGCGATCTCCCGGACCGTGTGCAAGGCCAGGCCTGGGTGGGCATACTGGCAAAGGCTTCTGGGAACCTGGAAGACAGCAAGCACGAAGACCTCCGCTGTACCTCCTTGCACACCCAGCTCCAACACAGAAGGCCCCCGTCCCTTCCCCAGCAAGGACCTCTTTGGGGCTACCCTGTAGAGACCCCTTTACCTGCGGGTGCAGGAAGAGTCCTAGTCATGGGGCTCTGGGTGAGCAGGGTCCCACGCTTCCATGGACTACCCTCTACAGGGTAGGGCTTTGCACTGCCTGGAAGAGAGTGGTTACCCTTCAGCTTCTCAGCCCCCGGGCTTAGTGGTGCAGAACACGGACACATCTACACAGCCCACAGCGGGCCCTGGGAGTCACTGGGCTCGGGCCCTGCCAAGCTTGCCTGGGTGCCCGCCCGCCTACCCGCCAGTAGATCCTGGGTGCCCCCGCTAGGCCTGGAGACGTCCATACCTGGCGGGGCAGGAAGTAGGGGGCATCCGTCTCCACAATGATCCTCTCCAGCGGGATGCGCTTCACAGCGTCGCGGGCCTCCCAGGCAGAGGCGTAGGTGAGGACGGCCGTGAAGCCCACGGACATGTTAGGGAAGTGCTTCAGCAGCGGCTCGATGACCGGATAGCTGCCAGTGAAGCAGTGCCTACGGGAGAGCGCAGGTCAGCACGTGCCCCGGCCCTCCGCAGCCCTACCCCCCGAGAGCAGCCCAGCCGGGAAAGCCTGCCTCCGAGCGAAGTCCTCCACAGCAAGCACAGACAGGCCCGAGGTGGCGCACGGAGAGCAGGGCTCCCAGCCCCCCAAAACCGCACAGCACTGGACACCACCACCGCCATAAAGAACACGCAAACAGCACAGGGAGGCGCACGACAGGAAAGCAGAGTTAAAGACAGGGCCCCAAGGTCACAACCACAACATGGAGAATTTATGCCTACACAGGCAAACACACTGGAAAAAAAGGAACAAATGAAATACTGGGAAAAGCCGGTCGTGGTGGCACACAGGACTGGTGACCTTGAAGCCAGCTTGGCTACACAGCGCAACTCTGTCTCAAAACACAAAGAAAAAGAAAGGAAAGAAAGAATGAAGGAAGGAAGGAGGGGAGGGAAAGAAGGAAGGAAGGAAGGAAGAATCGGGAAAAGGACTGTACATGCACTTTCCCTGCTCATTACTTGGGTTTGAACTCAGGGCCTCAAACTTTGCTCGCTCATAATTGGCACTTGACCATGCCTCCGGCTCAGCATTTTGCTGGCCATCTTGCAGGTAAGAGTCTTGTGGACTCTTCTGCCCAGTCTGGCTTCGAACCAAGATCCTCTGGATCTCAGCCAGCCTCCTGAGGAGCTAGGCGCACAGGCGGGGAACCGCAGTGGTGGGCCGTCTACTTGCTGGGCTGTGCTGCTGGGCCATACATACTGTACCACCTGGGAACTCAAGTCCTTCAGCCACACCAGCATCGCGCGCCACCTTACCAGACCTGGCCAACCAAGTGCCGGCCCCGGTGAAAGCGTGACAACCCACTGGCAGCCACCACCCGCTGCCTGCAACCTGCACGCCGCCACGCGCCTCGGCTCCCAGAAGGGAGCAGCATGGTGGCCGAGAGCCTTCTCCTCACTCCTCTGCCATGACATGGTTTGGGTTCTGGCTGTTTCTTTTCAGTAGCTCTCCTAGCTTCTTTTTTTGTTTTTTTGGTAGTGGGGCCTGAACTCTGGGCCTGGGCGCTGTCCCTCAGCTCTTCAGCTCAAGGCGAGCACTCTACCACTTGAGCCACAGTGCCATTTCTGGCTTTTTCTGCTTATGTGGTGCTGAGGCATGGAACCCAGGGCCTCGTGCATGCGAGGCAAGCGCTCTACCACTGAGCCACCTTCCCGGCCCTCTCCTAGCTTCTTTAAGGACTAAGCCCACAAGTCCCCGGAGGCCTTTCTAGCCATGCCAAGCTCCAAAGTCCCTGCCATCCTCCACACCGACACCATAGGCCTCTGCCACACGTGGAACCGCCAGGCCAATGCACTGGGAGCTCGAGAGGGTTACCCCAAGATGCCATTCAGGTCAGACTCGTCCCGGACTTTCACACTTACTGGGCAAAGAGAGCTCTCAAATTTAAGAGGAAGGAAGGGCTCTGCAAGGCCTATGCTCTGTGCTGAAGCCTCGGGCTGGCGGCAGCGCCTCGTGCGGGAGGAAAGCCGCCTGCTCTTGTGTAACCAACCACAGAGCGTAGGAACTTACTAGGTTTTTGGTTTTTTGGTCCCGTTTCCCCTCCCCCCTGCCCCACCACAATGCGTACTGGATTCCGGGCCTTGCACTTGTTAGGCAGACACTGTTCTACTTGAGCCACACCACCAAGCCCTTTTTGCTTTAGTTATGTTGGAAACAGGGTCTTGTATTTTTGCCTAGGCCAACCTGGACTGCAGTACTTCTACTCATGCTTCCCTCATAGCTAGAGTGACAGGCATGTACTACCACACCTGGTATAAGGGGAGATGGAGTCTAACTTTTCACTTGGGCTGACCTTATACGCAAGCCTTCGGGTCACCAGTCCTGAACGTCTAGGATTACACTGAGCCACTGTGCCAGGCCTGAAGTCATCACTTGGTAAACAAAGATAATGTTCTCCTTAGAACTGAATTCTTCCTATTGTTTTCCCACTTGCTGCTGACAGCTTAACACCATTTCCCCTGAAGATGCAGCCTCCTAACCTATGGATTTTGTAGTCAGAGGGCACAAATTTTTTCATGATGTCCAGCAGATCTTCATCAGCTTCTCGGCAATGGATGACCAGGGGTTTCTTCAGAGACACAGCCAGTTGCAGCTGTCTCTCAAACACCTGGGGGGAAGACAAAGTGACAGTTGCAATTGATGACTGGCATTTCAGAAATCCACCTCTGGAACCCCCAGCTGAGTGGGACTCTCCGTTGCCTCCAGTTCAGTTTAAACAACATAATGTTGGAATGACTGCGCGGTCAGCGTGCTGGGCGAGGGTCACTCTGGCCACAGGCCTCACGAGGCCTGTGTCAGCCCGTCAGCCAGTGAGCGCAGCTGGGGGCCAGACGGGAAGCCACACAGGAACCACTGCTGGTGTGGAGATTTGCCACAGGGATCAAGAACATAAAGTACCAAGTTACTGTCCTTGGGCTCAATGTCCCAGCCTCTAGTCTAGAGGAAAACAACCTCTAGCCTCTTCCTAGCCGAGAGCTGCACACAGATACATACATACATAGACAGAGACAGAGACAGACAGACACAGACACACACACCCTGTAGCATAAGGCTGGCTTGCAGAAGATAGGTAAACAGCTAAAGCTTCCTCATTCTTTGTCCTCTGGCCCCTTTTAACATTTTCGTTATTACATTTTTGTTGTTGTTGGTCGTGGGGCATAAACTCAGGGCTTGGGCTCTGCCCCTGAGCTCTTTTACTCAAAGTTAGTGCTCTACCACTCTGAGCCACCGCTTCACTTCCAGTTTTCTGGTAGTTAATTGGAGATAAGAGTCTCAAGATTTAACTTTCCTGGGCTGGCTTCAAACCTCAACCCTCAGATCTCAAGCCTCCTGAGTAGCTAGGATTATAGGCATTAGCCACTGGCACCCAGCGACATCTTCATTATTAAACACACATATTACTTTATTTGTAATGATATAAAAGAAGTAGGGCTAACCCTGTTCTTGCAAGGTTTAGAATAAAGAACAACGTGCCAGGTGCCAGGCATCGGTGGCTCACACCTGTAATCCTAGCTACTCAGGAGGCTGATATCAGAGGATCAAGGTTCAAAGCTAGCCCAAGCAAGAAAGGCTGTGAAACTTTTTTTTTTTTTGGGTCCGGTCGTGGGGCCTGAACTCTGGGCCTGGGCGCTGTCCCTCAGCTCTTCAGCTCAAGGCTAGTGTTCTACCACTTGAGCCACAGCGCCACTTCAGGCTTTTTTCTTTTTGCTTATGTGGTGCTGAGGAATCAAACCCAAGGCCTCAGGCATGCAAGGCAAGCGCTCTACCACTGAGCCACCTTCCCAGCCTCCAAACTGTGATTCTTAAGAGTAGCTAGGATTACAGGCATGAGCCACCATCATCTGGCCTAATGCTTATCTTTTAATTAATTATTGTCTTTTAAACAGTCATTCTTTGGGCTAGGAAGGTGGCTCAGTGGTAGAGTGCTTGCCTTGCATGCCTGAGGCCCTGGGTTCAATTCCTTAGCACCACATAAGCAGAAAAAAGCGGAAGTAGTACTGTGGCTCAAGTGCTAGCCTTGAGCTGAAGAGCTGAGGGACAGCACCCAGGCCCAGAGTTCAAGCCCTACAACTGGAGGGTGAGGGGGGAAAAAGCCAAGTGTAGTGACTCATATCTGTAATCCTAGCTACTCAGGAGACTGAGATCTGAGGATCATGGTTCAAAGCCAGCCCGGGCAGTAAAGTCTCTTATCTCTAATTAATCACTAGAAAACAGGAAGCGATGCTGTAGCTCAAAGTGGTTAGAGTGCTACCCTTGAGCAAAATGAGCCCAGGGACATCAATCACCCAGACCCCAAGTTCAAGCACTACAACCAAGAAAAAAAGTTCGTATTTTTCAAAGTACATACAATTGTTAAAACAGGAAATTTTTTACAAGTAAAAACAAGCATTCAAAAGTATTTTTTGTATGTGCTAGTCCTAGAAGCTTGAACTCAAGGCCTGGGTGCTGTCCCTGAGCTTTTTTGCTGAAGGCTAGAGCTCTACCACTTGAGTCCATAACTCTCCTTCTGGCTTTTGGTGGCTAACTCAAGGTAAGAGTCTCACAGATGGTAGAGCGCTCGCCTTGAGCTGAAGAGCTGAGGGACAGCGCCCAGGCCCAGAGTTCAGGCCCCACAACTGGACCAAAAAAAAAAAAAAAAGAGTCTCACAGACTTTCCTGCCTGGCTGGCTTTGAACCACCATCCTCAGATCTCAGAATCTTGAGTAGCTAGGATTACAGGCGTGGGCCATTGGCGTCTAACTTTAATTTTAAGCACATGCAGAGCTGAGGGGTAACTCAAGAGATGGCATGCTTGCCCCCTGCAAACCCAAGACCCTGGGCTCTGTCCCAGAGGGAGGTGGGTGGGTGACCATCTCCTTAATCCTGTGACAGGCTGACACAAGCCACAACTGTCCCTTGACGCTTTTCAAGGGGACACTAAATAGTAAATACATAATGGCTTTAAAATACACCCCAAATTGCTGATACAAAGAATTCATTAGCATGTACAACTATGGCTGGACTGGAGCAATCGCTCCAGGAAGTGAGGAAGCGCCAGGATGCTAATCACCCAGCATAATTACTGTCTTAAACCCTATGGTTCCCAGCTGATCCATTACTTTCAGAGATTCCAGGCGCAGTCTGTCTCTCCTGGGGACACCCTAGATATTTCCTGCATACTTACTGCCTCAGTAACTAATTGCAATCAAAGACAAATAAGAGGCAGATACAACATCAGTTCAGCTAGCCAGGTGGTAGAGGATCCTTCATTCTTCTCGGCTTTTGAACCAAGGGATTCTGGGATTCTGATATTGTTGGCAGTGTGCAACTCATGGCCTTGCATATGTTAAGCGCTGGTTCTACCATGAGCAGGTATACCCCAAGTCCCCAAATCTCTCTTTTGTATGTCATGGGGCTTGAACTCCAGGCCTGGGCAATGTCCCTGAGCTCCTTTGCTCAAGGCTAGTGCTCTATCTCTTTAAGCTACAGAACCACTTCCAGATAAAAGAGTCTCAACAGACTTTCCTGCCTAGGCTAGTAGCTACGAACTAAGATCCTCAGAACTCAGCCTTCTGAGCAGCTAGGATTACAGGTGTGAGCCACCAGTGCCAGCCCTCAATCTCTTTTATGAGCTAGATCTAACCGCATCAACTTGGTTAGGCACAAGTGCTTCCTTGGGCTCTTCTCTTCACAAGAAAAAAACATTCAGAATGATGGAAGGAAAGACTGGCCAGAAGCACTGGACACTTAAATGGACATGTTAAACTGTAGCCCTTATTCAGCATTATTAAGTTCAGAAAAAAAATTAAAACAGAATGAAAGATGACTCAGAATACATCCAAGAGTCTGCTGATGGCTCTGTGTTTGGGGAAATGCAGTGCAGTGCAGATATGCAGGGCAGTGTGCACGCCGGGCCTGCGAGTGTGGAATTCAAGAGTATAGCCACTTCCTTTGTCCAGCTTAGCATCTTCACTATTTCCAGAAATGCAGTCATGGGACCACTTTACATGCAGTCCAGTGTTCTGCACTCCCTCAGCCAACAATATATTTCCTCTTTTCAGTATTTCCTTCTTCCCGCTTTCTAATCTTGAGTCCCACCTTACCAAACCAAAAGATACCAGAATACTAATGATACGCTGGGCTGTAACCTCAAATACAGCTTGTGGTGCAGTGTGACCCCCATGCTTCTCCACAGACCTGAGATGGCCACATCTGTCATTATCTGTCTGTCTAATCTAGACAGACTTCACATTTGCTACACAAGCAACTCTACCACCTGAGTCACTTCTCCAGTCCAGCCCTCAAAAGCTAATAAAGGACAAAAGTAATCATGCATTCAGTGAATACCAGCTGCACAGCACATATACTAACTACTCCTCTGAGTATTTGCCAGAACTCTTCCTCTTCCCATTTCACACCTGTCCTATGACACAGAAACCAAATGGAAAAACAAAGTATTAGCTATTCACCTCACTTTCCTAAAACTCTATTTTCCATATTTAGTTATTATTCACATCAGACTAACACATTAAGACTTCAGGCCAGATGTGAGATAGTGACAAAGGGAAGGCTGGTCAGCCAAATTCTGCACAGGTGGACGCCATGCTCAAAGCCAAGAACATGCTGGCCCAGCCCCTGACCCTGCGGGCCTCCTTCCTCTGCAGGAAGGCTGCATGCACCCTCTACCAGACAGCACCCAGGGACCAGGGCAGCATGAGGTGATCCCCCTGCTCCTTCCCAGTCAGGAACATCACAGAGATGCTAAAAGAACTCTACCCTGACTAAACACTATGCTCAAAAAATGCCAGGAGGAAAGAATGGTAAGATGGTAACAGTGTTTGCTTGCAATGAGAATTTGCTTTTGGTGGTGGTGGTGGTGGTCATGGAGCTTGAGGCCTGGAACTGTCTCGAGCTTTTTTGCTCAAAGGTGAGGTAAGTCTCATGGACGTTTCTTTCTTGCCTAGACCAGTAATGGAACCTGATCCTCAGACCTTAGCCTCCTGAGTAGCCAGGATTACAGATGTGAGCCACCAATGTCCAGCAGAGAATTATCTTCTTCATATTCCAAATATTCTGCATCAAGCATGTTAAACTTTAAAAACATTCCAGCTGGGTGCCAGTGGTTTGCTCACACCTGCAATCCTAGCTGCTCAGGAGGCTGATATCTGAGCATCACAGTTCAAAGCCAGCCTGGGCAGGAAAGTCCATGAGACTCACATCCAACAAACCACCAGAAAACTGGAAGTGGCGCCGTAGCTCAAGTGGTAGAGCACTCGCCTTGAGCTGAGGGGCAGCGCTCAGGCCCAGAGTTCAAGCCCCACAACTGACAAAAAACCAAAACCAAAACAAAAACCAAGTTTGTTTCATCCCAAGGCCATAAAACAAATATCTTGAAACTGAAACCACCATAAGAAGCCTCCAAACGCCTCTCTTCCATCTTCTGTAAGAATGCTGCAGACTGGGTGTCGCTAGAATGCTTTTCCAAACATGTACAGGACAAAACAAAACACACTAAAAAGTAAGGAAGAGCTTGTAAGCTGGACGTGGCATGGTGGTGCGTGCCTGTAACCCCAACACTGGAGAGGGTAAGGCTGCTGTGAGTTCAAGGCCAGCTCTCAGCTACCATAGTGAAACCTTGTCTCCAAGACATAAGAAAAGAAAAAAAATGACTGATGTCAGGAGGATTAAGACAAGAGCAAGGAAACAAAATTCTAAATTCTTCAGTTCCAAAAGTCGAGTAGCTCTTACACAGAGGTTTCAGAGACTACAGGAACAAGAGAGATCTGGTTACCTTGTGCTGCTCTGGGACGGGCGTGGTACATTTGTAGGAGTAATCCAGGCCCATTTCCCCAAAAGCCACCGCCTTGGGGTGCCTTAAGGCTTGCAAAATGTTTCTCTCTTGATTCTCACTGTAGTACCGCGCGAAATGAGGGTGGCAGCCAAAGGCTCCCCACACCAGGTCCTCTTTCAGGAGCTCCTCCCACAAGCCGTCCGTCAGCGTCCGAGGGTCGCAGAAGTCAGAGATGCAGCCCTGAAACTCCCTGGGGAAGGAGCTGCTGTACGTCTTCCGGAACTTTGTGAAGGTCCCTCTGAAGGACAGCTTGGAGTAGAGCATGTCCAGGTGGCAGTGGGTGTCAATGAAGCCCTCCTCCAGACTCGGCTCCCGGTGGCTCCTTGGAGCTGAAGTAGACGGGAGTCGTCCCCCACAGGGCCGAGGGGGCGTCTCCTCGCGGAATGTCCTTCTCTCCTTCACCTCCCCTTCCTCCGAGCTTCTGGAGAAGCGAAGCCCACGGGCGTTCTGGGAGTGGCCCTCGTGGGTGTCCTGCGGGGCTCTGGCGGCGCTCGGGGAGCTCCGTGGGGGCCGTGGGGAAGCAGCACGCCCCACGCTCCCGTGGCTCTTGTCAGCCTGTGTCACGTCGTGGCCGCTGCTGCCCACGGAAGGGTAGCCAGCAGTCCCAGGCGTCTTGGGGCCACTGGTCCAGTAGCTGGCGTAGTCACACCAGGGGCTACTGTACAGATGAGGAGGGTACATAACGTAGTCCGTGGGGAAGGAAGAAGGTTCCGGAACTGCTGAGGAGCATCTGGCTGAAGGGGGTTCTTCCTGAGAGAATCTCACGGTGGTCAGCTCATCCACATCGGACCAGTCACTTCCTGAAGACGGATGCTCAAGCACCGCCTCCCTGTCTTCCTGCTGTAGGGGAACAGAAAGAAAGAGCAGCAGCTTAGCTTCCGTGTGAAAACCAGCCGGGCTCCCGTGGCCCACGCCTATGCAGCCACAGCTGCTCCCGAGGCTGAGGCCTGGAGGACCCCAGTTTGAAGCTTAGTTGGGCAGAAAAATCCGCGAGATTTTCTGGGGCTGAAGGTATTGCTCAGCCAAGCAAGAAAAATCAAACGAGTGCAAAACTGAGTTCAAAACCCCAGGACCAGTACAGTCTGCCACTCCAGAACGCATGCTGGAATTTCACCTGAATGTGGGGGGTTTGGAGATGGACCTGTGGGAGGGGATTAGGATCAGATGACGCATCAGAGTAGAACCCTCCTGACTGAACGGACCAGGACCAGAGGAGCAGACACACAACATCCACGAGCTACCCGCCACCACGCTGGGCCTAGCCTACCTCAGGATTCTGCCAGCAAAAAGGCCATCATCTGATGCAACCCCATGCCCTTGGACCAGAATCATGAGACAAACTCTTTGTTGTAACCCGCTCAATCTGCAGTACCGAGGCATTAGCAGCAGGAAAGCTGGTTCTCTTGGCCAGCCTTGGGTTTACAATGGCATCCGCTCATTGCCACCTTATGCTTTTCAGAAGGGAGCCAGGCTCCAGAGGTGACAGGTCACATAAGGTGCCAGGGACAAACCTGTGACCCTGGTGTCACAAGGCACCGTGAAGGAGACACTAATCACTCTGCCTCCCATCTTAAGGACCTCTTGAGAGAGCTGTTCTCTAAACTTGGGCTGAGAGTAAACAGGCCCAACACTTCCAATGTGTTCAAGATGGAAAACTGTAATTGCTCTGGCAGTTATGAAGCAGGCACCCACTGACTTGACATTATTATCCACTGAGAGTGGGGTCACCAGTGAGCCAATTATTACTGACAGAAAGCAAAAGTGACAGGTGCTCTCTTTGAGGCCTGCAGGCAAAGCTTGAGAGCTTCCTGCACCTTGTAAAAAAAAGGTCAGACCACCTGGCTAGAGTGGTCCCACGGGGCAGGGCCAGCAAATATCTGAACAGGAAAGACCCCACCGAATCCCTGCTAATTCACACCCTGCTGAATTCCTGAGCCACAAAACCAAAAACAAAACACAAGCCAAAACCTTGCAATTGCAACCAAACAGACCTACCTACCAAAAAAACCTAAACTCGATCAAGACAAGAACAGGACTGGTTCAAACACTAAGTGTTCAGAACACAGATATCTGTTGAGCTTACTCATAAATGGTGCAGTAGCTCCCAAACACAGCATCAGCAGCTGGGAAGCATTTTAAGATTTTCCACACCCCAATGCCCAGAGATGCCATCAATCAGTAGGCCCTGTGAGGGGCCAGGGTCTGTGTAATTCTCCAGGTAAGTTCTGAGAAACACATTAAATGCGGTATCAAATTTAATGTCAGTGACTCTTATGAATGAATACATCCACAACACCAGCGCCAAGGAGCTTAAATAAGCACCCTTACAAAGTTCTTCTAATATTTCTATAAAAAATTCACTTCCCATAATATTCACAACAAGCTGGTGGCTCACACCTGTCATCCTAGCTACTCAGGAGGCTGAGAGCTGAGGATCGTGGTTCAAAGCCAGCCTAGGCAGGAAAGTCTGTGAGATTCTTATCTCCAATTAATCACAAAAAAAAAACTGGAAGTGGTGCTGTGGCTCAAGTGGTGGAGACTTGAGCAAAAACAAAAAGCAGCTCAGGGACTGCATCCAGGCCCCCAGGACCAAGAAAAAAAAATCACAACAAAACATTACAAATAAATTGATTGCCTCCTTAATATTCAACACAAAATGTGCATCTGTTGTCTGTACTAATAATCAGTACCTCTGTCTCCACTCCAAAATACTGGAAACAAAAACATAAATAATTTATAGACAGTCCACTTTATACTTTCTTACTCTTGGCTTTCTAACTGCTATTGCTTTCTCTCCTTTCACCTCTCTCCTTCCCTTTTTACTGCTTTCTAGCATAACAGATATATCCAAACAAAACCACATCTCCAGTACCATACCTTCCCCCAAAATACATGGGATCTAGTTCTTCTGAACTCCTGAAACTGGTAACAGTAAGGATTCACTACCTTATCCTATTTACTTTTCAACATGTCTGAAATTTCACACTGCAAGGTTTTTTTGTTTTGTTTTGTCAGTCCTGGGGCCTGAACTTTGGGCCTGGGCACTATCCCTCAGTTCTTCAGCTCAAGGCTAGTATCGCGCTATCACTTGAGCCACAGCGCCACTTCTGGCTTTTTCTGCCTTTTTCTGCCTATGTGGTGCTGAGGAATCAAACCCAGGACTTCATGCATGCAAGACAAGCACTCTACCACTGAGCCACCTTCCCAGCCCCCTCACCCTGAAAGTTTTTAATACCTAAATCTGTAAGGGAAAGCAACGCCTAATAAAACCTATATTACTTATAAATGGAAAATGTCTACCAAGTCAGACAATTAAAAACCGAAGTGGTGCTTGAGCTTGACAAGTTCTTTTTTCCCCCTGCCTAATTTCCCAGTGAAACATATGGGGCTCACCACCCGCCGGCTACGCACAAATGCTTACAGTTAACATCCTTGCTACCCAAGCTCTTTGATATGTATATTACGATGCTACTTTAGATAGTATGTATTTTATTACTTGTATTATGAAATTATATTCTGTCCTATGGGCTCTGTACGGGTGCCTTTGGTTTGCAGAAGACAAGGGATCTCACGGAACTCAACAGTGCTCACTGGATGCCTACAGAGGTTTCCTCTATTTGTCTGGTTTTAAAGAGAATGAGTTGGTAGGGCTGGGAAGGTGGCTCAGTGGTAGAGCGCTTGCCTTGCATGCCTGAGGCCCTGGGTTC